GACTAAGAGACACTAATAAATACATAAACTCTATCTAGAGTGTTCTAGAGAAGAACATCAAGAGAAAAAGAAGACTCAGTGACGAAAAGGGCCAGAATAAGAATGCACAGAGGACGAAAGAAGAGGAGGCAAAAAAGTCACACATGGTGGGAGAGTGACAGAAGAGGGGACATGGGTGACCTTAGAGACACAGGCTCCTCTTGGATCTTTTCTAAGAAAAATCAGAAATTCTGAAAGTTCCAAAAGTGGAACATATATGTGGAGCGCCAACGTTAACCATGACACGGAATTTGGTTCAGGAACGATGTAGACCCAGAATGCATGGGCGTGCAACTTCGGCATCACTGGAGAGTGTCGGGAATGCAGAATCTTGGGCCCTACCCCAGACCTAGCGAATCAGTGTGTCCATTTTTAACAAGACCCCCAGGTGATTCCTATGGACAAAAAAGTTTGACAAACGCCAATGTAGCCATTTGACACCCGCAGATAACCTCCGCATCTCGTTCAGTGGTGTGGCGCACAGAGCATCACCACCAAGCTGCTGCACAACCTAAGCCAGTCACCTAGTGTCCCTGGATTTGTTTCTTTACCTGTGAAATGAGAAGGTCAGAGTAAATGCGTTCTCAACTGTCACGGAGCTCTGACCTTCTTGATCCCATCTAACATCTTACCTTCACATCCTTCCTACAACACCCGCCAGAACAAACAAAAATAGCCTTATTTGTTAATTAATATTTCCCTTCCTCTCTCCACTTACCTAGTATTTTTTGTTTCAAGTATCTGTTATGTGCCAGGCACTGTGTTAAGGACAAATGATTCCAGGATGAATAAATATCCCTCCCTGTCCTCAAGGAGCTCACAAACTTAGGGAAACAGAGCATAAAAACACAATTAGGATAAAAGTATGGTAATGATCATGAACCAGCCCTGGTGATGCACAGAAAGCAGAGTGGCCATTCTGCTCGGGGCAGTTATGGCAGGATTTCAACAAAGGGCCAACATATGCACTCTGCCAACCTTCTCTGCCAACCTCAGCTTCACGCACTAAAAGTGAAAAGACAAAAATAAGGTAGTTGGAGATCATCCACGAACCAACCAAAGGTTCCCAAACACACCTCTCTGGGTTCGCAAAGCTCCAAAAGCACATCCACACAATGGATTTGGTGTAAGGGCCACAGATAGACCATTAACAGCCACAGGCGCACCCTCAGAAACCCACCTCCTCTGAGTTAATGCCCACTCCCCCTCATCCCAACTGCATTCGCTTCTTCTAGCTTCGGCATCCTTCTGGAAGATAATATCAATTCAACCACTAATCTACTCTCCCTAGAGACTTCTTCTGTGGTTTCAAAGAGGGGATGCACTTTAATAAATGTGAACAATTCATTAGACCAGTAACTCTTTTTGATCTATATTTATTTATAGAAACGACACTCATATCCGATTGCATGCACGCTACCAGAGACTGAAAATGTAATTTACTGAAAGGAAGAAATTTCTAGAATTTCTATGGAGGCTGGAGAATGGCAGGGGGGAAAGAGGACCTAACTTTCCAGCGTATCCACTCCTGACCTCAACAAGTTACACGAGATGAGTGGTTTTGTCAGCCCCAGCCTTCCTTATTAAGGAGAAAAGGCTATCGCTCAGAACAACAGTTTGCCAACCTTTAGAATGGTGAGTTCCACCCTGGCTTCTTTCCTGCCCCTGGCTTTTATAGGCTGATTTTTCTGCTATGGTTTCTTCACATACAACCTGTCCTTTCCCCTGCCTGCTATATTTCCTACTCCATAAACATTCATGACATTTTTGCTTTAACTTGTTAGCAGTCGTGAACATGTCACCTTCACCTTCGTATTGTTGAACACGAAAATAGGGGGGCAAACCCGTGCATCCGGGGCTCAACACATTCATGGAGGAGATGGGAGAATGTTTTTTACAAGGCAATGATGATATGATCGAGGGCTGAATCAGCTCAGTCTCGTTTCTCCCTGTCCGGCTTCACTCATCCCCCCAACCGATTTCAGTCCGTGTGTCCGCCACCCAGGTGCCCACTTCCCCTCCTCACACAAGGCTGGTGCATGCGCATGAAGGTCATAGAAGATGATCAAGGTTCTGAAGCCATCCTTCTGGAGGTGAAGAGGAATACAAAATCAACCTGCCGTTCACCCCTTCACCAGAGGGAGTCGCTCTTCGCACTCAACCTACAAGAAAGGCATTTGGTGTGCAAAGTAGTGACTAGAGAAATGTGTTGGTCCTCCTCCTTTCCCTTAATTTTGCCTCGTTACTTCTTTGCTTTCTCTGCATCTATCCCTGCCCGAAACAACACACATGCAGTGGCAAAGCAAGACTCTTCAGACAGACAGGCTTCCTAGGAATGGAACCAATGCTGAGAAGAAATGAGACGATTGAGGGGCACACCCTGCTCCTCTCTTTGCACGTGAACAGGTATCTCTGGGTGGCCACATGGCTCTGTGGTCCCAGATCCGTCATGCTTTGCTACACCTGAAACACACAGGGATAGAAGGCAACCATGTTGTTCTGCTTCCCTTCAAATCACCAATCTAAACTCCTTGGCAGGGCTTGCCTGAGAAGTCTTTATTTCCCATTAGTGTTTTTTTATTATTTTTTTTTCTTAATTGTACATCACGGAGGCTCCTCAACTGAAATTAAATTTGCTCTTCCTCCCACCAGCAGACACATTTCTTCCTCAGGTAACCCACACTGTATGGAGGGTGGCAGAAGGAGAGAAGACAAAATAGAACCCAGTCAGCTCTTTGTGCCATGAGGGGGGAAAACAGAGAGAGAGAGAACAGTGGCCCAGAGACAGCCTAGAACACCACTGAGTCACAGCCTCGACAAGACTGCTCACGGGGATAGGACACACCTGCCTCATCAGGGATCCAAAACGGCTTTGGATGAAGTAAAGGTGCAGACCAGTTGGTGGTGATTCCACCTTGAATCCTAATAAGCGCCTCCCCTTCTCCTTGTAGCCTTCCCACCACCCAGTCCCCACCACCCTCCCCTTTTAACCTCTTGTCCTTTGTCTAGCTTTAGGGCCAACTAAGGATGGCCTAGAACCTGGCTTAATCCCATGAGCATTCTAGGAGAATGTGGCTGAAACTCTGTCCAAAGGTCTGCTGTCAACCTGGTCACCAACCAATACGACGAAGGACCTCGTCCCTGTAGGGCACTCTCGCAGGCACCAGGAATGAGAAAAGGGGCATAGACCCTAAGGACACCCACCTCACCTTGCTCATCTGTACGTAGGAAACCAGTGCACATGGAGTTGCTGTTCTCACCCATACTTCTGTTCTATTTTGAAGTAAAATTAAGAATACATCCTCCCACTTGAAGGAGTAGAAGCAGATGGAGAACCAGCTCAGGTGTCTGTAAGGTGAACACACACCAGATAACCTCAGCTATTTGTAGACATGGTGAGAACATGGTTCAAAGTGGGATCCCATTCTCCCATTCTGCCGACAGTACAGATGGGTACAGATTACCAGTTAAATGCTCAAAAGAACGAAACCGGGGGGGGGGGGCGGTGAGTGTGGATGATATCCATCCTTTCTGGACAATAAAGAACTATCTTCTGGTGTGATGTTGAGGGACAAAGATCTTCTCCTACTTCCCCCACGTCCCCTTGGTATTTTTGGATTGCTTCAAAGTATAGTCATTAAAAACGCCAGAAAAAAAGATTTGGGGGGAGAATACTTTGAGAGAGACTATCGATACCCATGATTCTGCTACAGGATTTTGAAGATCTTTATCTCAACCCATTTCCTGCATTTGGGCACCCTTAGAGTTTGGGGGTGTACGGTCAGTGGACCAAGGAGAAGAGCACACCAGCTCGCCATCATGGCCCTCCAGCCTGTGGATGATCTGATTGCCTCAGGAGTTGTCTTGCATTGCATGAGTGCCTAGCTGAAGAGTCATTAGCTAAGTCTTTTCCGTTTCTCCTGCTATTTCTCTTTTCAAGTACATAAAAAAAATACTGCCTAGCCACATTTCATATACCGTAAAAATTGACGAGAGGAGGAAAAAAAAATAAAGTCTTCATTCTCTTTTGAAGGTACAAGACGAACACATGCAAACGGCACATCTCTTTGTTTAACACAAAGACTCACGTGTCGAATTCTGCACCCCTTCCTCATGCACAGCATTTTAGAACTCTGCAAGATAGCCATTTTGCAAGAGTGTGGAAGTAACAGTTTGCTTGGAGGATGTGTGGGTATAAATAGATGTGTAGACAGAAGGAGAAATTTACAGCTCAAAAATAATAGCACAGGAAAAAAATATCAATTAAAAGGAGAATACTGACAGAATTCGTTCTTTGCAAGCATGAGACTGAAGTCCTTTTAACCTGCAGCATCCTTCAATTCCAGGTGTTCCTAGACCAGCCAGATTCCCCACCTAGACCTGTCCCTCTGCAGTAGGCCTCCTGGGATCTCTGGGCCCGGTGTCAATGCTTTAGACAGCAAGTGGACTTCAGGGCAACAACCACAGTAATCATTATTTTCATTTTTTAAAAGGGCATTAAAAAAAAAAAATTCCTAGGAAGGTAGAGAATAGGAGACAGACAGGCATGGAAGTGGCAACGGGGGAAAAGGCTAGCCTGAAAAAAAAAATTTTTTTTTTTTCTAGATTCCCATAAAAATCAGAGCTGTAGCCCTGGGTGAATAAAATGCTATTTAACTCAAAAATCACACAAGTCTCCCATGCATGTCTTCATACATAGACCCTCATGCCACCCAACATCTTCCGTCCCTACATACATCCACCCCCACTGCCTCCCCCAAACCCGAAACCTGTTTGATGAGGAAGGGAAAGATATAACATGGGAGATTCCCCCTTTGTAATAAGCCTTTTTTCCCCAAACAGCATTATTTTCTTATCTTGTCGCCTTTTCTTCCAAAAATTCCACTTGAGGGATTTGAAGAGAGAGATAAACAAGGAATCCCTACCCCAGGTGAAACGAAATAAAACAGAATTTGCCCTACCTTGGTTTGTAGAAGCCAAACCTCTAGACGGACAGATTAAGGGAGTGAGCATGTTGGGAATGTCCAGTCTCCTCTTCTCGCTGGCATATCCACATAAGAAAGACGAAGGATAAATGAAAGGAAGATAATTTAAAATCCAATTTAGCGTGAATTTTGTTTTAATCTTGTATCTTGAAGAGATGCAAATTCAAAGAAAAAAAGACTGAATTCAAAGGTAATTCAGGATATGGAGAGCAGCTCACAATGCAGAATCCAGAGTAATTATTCCATTTGCATGTGAGGTTAGTGGCTGGGCTATTTTTTTAATGATTCTTCTGGCAATCACGGTTTTTGATTTTTGGAGCTTTAGTGGAGGAGGATCTGTGTAGAGAAGCTGGGGGCCGGTTCTGTCCCTCCGTGGAGCATGGTCATTCCCAAAGCGTCCCCTTCCTAAGGGGGAAAAAGAGGCGGTCAGGGTTTGATTCGAGTGTCCCCGGAGGGTGAGAAAAATGCATTCCGAAAAAGATATCAATTCGTTTTAAGGAAAAGGGGCAGGAAACCCCGCATTTCCCACAGAGTGCACACGAGAGGGATGGAAAACTGTCGGCACCGTTCTATAAATAATTCAGAAAAGGTCTGGCTATACCATTCCTGGGACAGGCATGGATGAGAGGTGGGAATGCCAACCTGAATGGAAGAGGGGAGAGGGAGGGAGCGAGCGAAGGAGGGCAGCGGGCAGGAAGGAGGAAGGGGGGGAGAAGCGGCACCATAGAGCAACACACACTCCACACACTCGCACACACGCAGAAGCACAATCCCCACTTAACTCGCCAGCAAGTGCGGCCCCCAGCCCCATCTGCATTGCTGCCGACATGTCTGTCTCGCTCTCCCCATCGCCTCCAGCGGTAGCGCCTCCTCCCGCCCCGCGCTTGTGCTGAATGGGTTCTGATTGTGCACTGGGTGCACACTGGGCATTTCTTGGAAGGGGCACACTGACACGCGCGCGCACACACACACACGCCCCCGACGCGCACGCGCCCCCGCGCGCGCACTCACACTCACCCCCGCGCACACTCACCCCCGCGCACACTCACGCCGCCGCCGCGCTGATGTGCAGCGCACGGGGCTTCACCTGCAACGTGTCGATTGGACGGATGGTCGCGGCGCGTGGCTCCGGCCCGGGGCACCGATGCCCAACCTCTCTGTTCGGTAAGGGGATTAACACCCCCCCCCCCCAAAAAGACCAGAGGGAGCCCTCCCCTTTCACCGTAAAAAAATATATATTTTTTAAAAAGCCCCGTCCAAATTAGCAAGTGCCGGGTTCTGCTGGATTCAAGAGCTTCACCCAACAGCAGGTTAGTTAACGGTTCCACTGCTTCGACCCTTTATCTCCCTGACACCCCCAAACCTCAACACTGAGACAGGAGACTCCAAAGCGAACATTTACGTACCGACTCCGAGCGCCTGGGCGACTGCAGAAGCTCCGGAGAGGGGTGGCGGGTGGCCGGGGATTGAGGGTTTTCCCTTCCTGCAAAGCAGGATTGATAATCCGTGTCGGGGGTTTTGAAGTTCACGACTCTTCTTGGCAAAGCCAAAGAAAATGCATTCGGACGCCAGCACTTCTGGACTGTGGTCATCAAAAATCACCCTGACGAACACTTTCGATAAGAGCAAAGCCCCGAGATTTCCTAGAGGTGAAGAAGCCGAAGGAAGTGGTTTTTTGAAAAGGGGTTGGGGGGGGAACCTTCCTTTCTCAAAAAAAAAAAAAAGGGGGGGGGTGGAGAGGCAGGAGCCCAGATTCCAGTTGGTGATGATCGGAGCCGGGGGAGGGGAAGCGGGCGGGGGCACGCTGTGCAAGTCAACCGCGCGGCAGCGGGAGAGGAAGACGAGGAGGGGGAGGAGGGGGAGAGTAAGAAAAATGGGTATTAATCACCGGGGACGGGGGTTGGGCGGGAGATCACAGGTTGCCTGGTCTGGATTTGGGTCTCACACCCAAAAACGTGCGACCCCCCCCCCCACCTACCTCTCACACACTGGCTCTGGTGGGAGGAGAAACCCACGAAGCTAGGGAGGATGTTTCTGCTCCCAGCGTGTGTGTGTGCGTGCGTGTCCTCTTTCTCCACACCCCCCACCCCACCCCACCCCCAAACCCCGTCACCCCCTCACTCCTATTGCTAAGACTCCGGCGGAGGCAGCTTCCCACGTCACGTGCTGGGGGAAGTGGGGTAGGAAAGGGGGGAAAAGGCTTAACCCGAGTCCGTGGCGCCTCCTGCTGGCCGCAGTGGGGCACAGCAATGAGGAAGGGCAGCTAAGGGGTGTGGGGAGCGAGACAGTGCCCCCGGTGGGCGGCCGCACTCGGCTGCGGAAAGCGTCTCAAAGGCGGAGCTGCAGTTTGAAATTTAAGACCCTTGCTCTCTTTTCCACAAACCAGCCTCTGCTTCGTACATGCAGCGCATGTGCCGGACGCAGTTTAAAGCCGGGTTCTTGCCTTCAAGAAGCTTAAGGTCTATTTTGAGCCCACGAGGCTGACGGGAAAACAATGGGAAACAAAGAAAGGCAAACTCAATTAAGGGCTAAATTGTGTAGTACAGATTATATGTGTGCTTTGCTGACGACTAGTGAAGGTTCCAGGAGTTTGGCATTTTTTATTAAAGTAGATCCTGTTATTTAAAGTCCTTGATGAGAGAGAATGATGAGATAGGTGAATAATCCTTATATGAAACTACATCTCACGGCATTTACAAACCCACCTTCTTGTAAAACGCAAACATCCACTCGTTTCTCTCCCCCTTAAACTGTTTTCTGTTTTAATAGCACTTATCACCACCTGTATTATTATTTTTAATATTAATATCATCGTGTAAGCACCTTTTTTATTCTGATCCGTTGTCTCTTCAAAGATCCAGCATATTATAGTGGTGGACCATTTTCATATTGGTTACAGCATGAACTTCTCACCAACGTTCCTGAGAAGCAGCCATATAAACACACAGGTAATACTCCTGTGTGAAGTAGTGACACCTAGTAATTTGGAGCTTTGATCTATGTAAAATACATCAGATGTGTATTAGGTCCTATAGACCAGACAGTAGTCATAATATATCTGAACCTAATTCTTTTCATGTTTCCTAGTTTTTGTTAGGTTTAAAGGTTGCATTTAAGATTTTTAAAGGCACACACAAACGCATGAGCATTATATGGAAACACAAACACAAAATTATTCTTTCTCAGTAATGGTATTACTGTTTTTCTAAGACAGGATAGGGCTGAACTTCCACCTCTTTGGAGAACTATAGAACCACTCCAGAGTTGCTGTGCCCCTTGATACACAACAGCCAACCCAAACCACTCTATGTGCAGATTTCCAGTTGTTAGAACATGGATTCCAGGAGGGGTGTAAGATGCAGAGCAAGGACCCCATGGAGCTTTCCTGAAACACTTCCTTAAGTCTCCCAGGAATGCCATTACCTTCAGAATAAGACCCAAACTCACTCAAGGGTTGACCTTTAACCTACTTTAAAAAGCAACAACAAAAACAAACAAACAAAAACAAAAACAAAAACCCCTCAGGGCCCACCTTCCCCTTCCTGTCCCAATTCTCTTCACCAAAATTGGGCCATTCTTCTCTATTTTCTTTTCTTCCCTTTCTGGACCCAGGAATTCCATTCCAGCCCATTCACTTTTGCAAGTATAGAGGAAAGAATGAATTCTCAGTCTCCCTCTCCCTAATAAAGTCTACCCTCTCCTTCAATTTCTAGCTCAAGTCCCACCTCATCTGAGGATACTTTCAGTCAACCAAGCCTGAATTGATTTCTGTAACAACTGCAAGAGTTTTTAAATGAGGTATGGCCCTCACCACCATCCCCCTGACTCCCACCCCCTGCATTTGGAAATGTGTAGAGGAATTTGTATGATCAGTTATCAGATGACAAGGTGATGGTACTGACATGCGTGATGCAGGCACCAGAGATAACGACACACACCAAATTGGTCATTTGGTCTTGCATTAGGAAGAACTGGCCCAAAAGGAAAATAATAAAGCCATAAGCTCTTTATGTTGGACCATATGAAACTGCTGGTATTCAATCATATGAAACTGCCAATCACACGAAATAACCAGTATTGACCTATAATAAAAAGGCAATTTCATAAGGCTAAACTTAAAATTGTAAACGTATGTATATCTCCTAACTTTCCAATTATTTGTTTAACTACTTAAGGAGCTAGATCAGCATCTACATGATCCATCTATTCCCAGCACCTGACTGTTGGTTAGCAACCTCAGGAGCTCCCCTGGTGAAATTCTAAATTGGTCGCTGTACACGAGAGCAAGGAAAGACTGAAGAAAGAGACAGATCACTCCGGATTGGTGGGTGGCAGTTTTAATAAGCAAGACAACTTACCTACGAGGCTTGTCTTGGGCAGCTGCAAGATAAATGGATCTCAACACCTGCCCACCAGAATCTTAAGAGTTTTATAGAGGCCTTCATGGGGTTCAGTCATGTATATAGTCCAGATGGTCTCAACCCATTAGTCTCTCAAAGCTGTATCCTTGAAGTGGCTCCTAGGGTGAGAACAATGGGGAGAATGCACATTCCAAGAACAGAGCAGGGGGTAAGGAGCTTCCAGTTGCCCAGATCCAGCTTGTGGGTCAACTGGCTGGCACCTCCTCTCAATCACCTCCTCTAACAGTGGCACAATTCCAGACATGTGGTTGGGCCTCAATAAATATTAAGGTTTGGTTTGTTTGGGGTTTTATTAATGACTATTAGAAACCGCTTTCCCAAGCAGTCTTGCTGACTCTGGCTCTGGAAGATCTAATTCGAGGAACCATGCAGCCTGTGAGTGGAAGATGGCATCTCTTCTCCGTGGTATTCATTGCCCATTGTCCATTCAATGGGAGAAGACCTCTCTCCTTATTTCTCAGACTCCCTGTCATTCCCTGGCACTTCTCATGAATGACCTGTGCCTCTAAGGACCACAAGCCTTTCAATAAAATTGTTGTCAAGGATCATCCTGATTCATGAAATTTGGAACGCTATTTCTCAACATTGCAAATATGCATTTCTTAACTCCTAGTCAGGAAGCACAAAAAGCAATGTTCTAAAAAGACAAGATGTTGGATTATATTTCACAGCGTCATTTATTGAAGGAAAAGCTCTTGCCTGAGGCTGCTAATGAAATGTGGAGGTATTCTGCCAGCTCTCTTGACCAAAAGAGAGGATCCCAAGAGATGCAAACACTCTTGTCCATGGCCCAGTCAGCAGATGCAAAGCCCATGCCTTGCCCAGCAATAAATAAATACATAAATACATAAATACATAAATAAAAGCAGGAGGTGAGGGGGGTATATTTATCTCACAACATCTTTCATATCAAACAACAATACCACAGGGTAAGGCCTGAAGTTTACAATTTGGGGTTCCTCTTTAAGGAAAAGAGTAGAAATTTTGATGTGAAAGTGAGTATTTACTTAAAACAAGAAAATAAATCACAAGAAATAAAAAATTACTTGATATTAATGCCACAAAAATTTGTCATTATTGTAATTTTATTAGTTATTGCCTGAATGTTCTGTAATATTTGCTTTCCTATATTTTTTATTTATATTCTTCACATTATGATTTATAATATCATTTATATGAAAATAACAGAAAGAATCAAGTCTATCCTTTACTGTGGTTCCTCAAAAATTGTTTTTCATTATGAACCATTTAGAAAAATTTCTTATTGGTAGTAGTGCAATATGTGTTTTTCAGAATCACTGTCAAATTAGGGAAAACCTTTATCAAATTTCTTTTATATAGAAGTTGCACGATTTCAAGGATTTCAAGTTTTCATGTAGAGTGGTTAATATTAAATATCCCTTGAATTGATGCCACTCATTAACCAGTTGACAGTGTATTACAAGTTTTGTATTATTTTCATCAATGTTAGTGTTTTGTCTCAAACCAGCCAGAAATTTAAATCTTTTTCCAGTGTGTTCATTTGGTTCACTCCTCTTCTGTAACTGGATTATCAAACAATCCAGGAGCCTATTCATTACTCAAAATTTCTCTTTTCTTCTTACAGTTGTGGTATGATTTGAAAAAAAAATGTTGCAGTTTGCTTCTTAATGTCAGGTTGATTTCTATTGATGTCAATGCTAATCTTTTTGTCCTTTTTTATTTCATATGCATTAATTATTATATGAATTTTCTCTTAGTTCTTCAGTAAATAAGTGTATATAAAATAAAGAACTCTTCAGCTATGGCCTAAACAACAGTCTGTCATTTCTCACTTGTTTTATTAAAATGTCCCAAAGTGTCTTTCCAAACTGCAGATAAAGTGGCAACAAACTCAAGCTTTATCAACTCTTAAAGAAACTTTTTAAAATCTATGTTCAGGTTTCCCTTCCCAGCCTATGAAAAATTCTAGAACCTTAATGTTGATGTTCTCTACTTAAAAGCAGGAGCAGCTTTCTAGTGGGAAGCATTACACTTTGATTCTTTAAAGAAAATTCTAAGTTGTCAAATATTCTATTTGTGAGACAAATCTGAAAGGGGAAAAAAAAAAGCGTTACAGAATACAAAAGCAGGCTACAGCTTCAGGTAAGGGGGTGAGGCACTGAGCACATGTTCTCTGAGACTTCATGTCACAGTGCGGGGTGAGAAGGCACAGGGGGCTGATGGAGTTTTCCTGGAAGCTTTTCCTTCATTGAGAAAGCTGGCAATAACTTAACTCTATAGGAAACTGATGGCAAGCCGTATAAATATATCTCACTGAACCCAAATTAAATTATTGCCAACTCAGCCTCCACTTAGCTTCATCTCAAAAATGCTCACCATCACTCCAATGACACCCAGTATAAGAGGAAATCAGAGAAAGTTGGAGTGGAAAGAGACAGCAATCTTAAATGATTGCAGTTAAAATATACTACTTTTGCAAATTTTACTAAAACATTTTGGACACATTATTAGGGCCTCTCCCACAGCCTTAGAAGAAAGGGCCCCAAGTGAGAGGCTGGGAATCGGAAGTTGCATTAGCTTCAAAGTCAGTCTGCCTCTGCTCGTTACCTAATGTAAAACAGTCTTCTTAGTTTCTAGAGAAAATATTCGAATTTTATCTTTGAAAAAATAATTCGTTAAAGGCTCAGTTGACAACATGCATATTAATACCTTCTGCTGAATCCAATCCATCTTCTTTTGCTTGCAACTCCTGGAGTGTACAGGAAACA